TTCCTCCCTGCCTCTCCCCACCCCTGCCTGCCTGGGGCCAGGGAGGGCCTTGGTGGGGCTTCCTTGCACTCCCGCTGGCCTTGCAGGTCCACCACCGGGCCCCTCATGGGGCTCGGCAGTGGAGTTGCAAGGCCGGTGGCGGCGGCCGGGACCGTTGGGGGTGTGGTGTGTGGCCTTATGACACACTTCCGGTGATGTCAGGGGGTGTGGCATATGCTAATGAGTTATGCTAATGAGTTCCCCTAGCTCTTTTTCTATGAAACGACCCCTGCTGAAAACCATGCTAGTTAACTTCACCAACACAATAATAGTTTTCTACTTATGTCTTTTTAATCCCTTGGAATTAAAAGGAAAGGAAGCTTTCCAGTGGAAGAGCTTGCCGCTGATCCTCCTGCGTTATTTCTCTTGCAGATAACCTTTGAAATCTCCAAGCTCGAGGAGTCGCACATCCCCATCTGGATCATCATCGGGAGCACGCTCGGGGGTCTCTTGCTCTTGGCCCTCCTTGTGCTAGCCCTCTGGAAGGTAATGATGCCCCCCTTTGCTGTGGAGGGGGCAGGAGGGGGCAAGCGAAGGCCCAGCAGCGGCGTCAGTGCTGTGGCGGCTCCAATCACACCTGGCGGCACTGGTGGGGGAGACTGGGAGGTACCGCCTTTGCCCACCCCCTCCTCCTGTGCTGGCCAGGAGTAAACTGAGCTCCTGCATCGTGTTGGTCATAAGAACACAAGAGACGCCAATGTTGGATCAGGCCAAAGGCCCATCCAGTCCAACACTCTGTGTCACACAGTGGCCAGAAATACCAGGGGCCACCGGGAGGTCCAGCAGTGGGGCCAGGACACTAGAAGCCCTCCCACTGTTGCCCCCCCCAAGCACCAAGAATACAGAGCATCCCTTGCCCCAGACAGGGGCCAGAAATACCAGGTGCCATCGGGAGGTCCAGCAGTGGGGCCAGGACACCAGAAGCCCTCCCACTGTTGCCCCCCCCCAAGCACCAAGATGACAGAGCATCACTTGCCCCAGACCGAGAGCTCCTATAAGAACATAAGAGAAGCCAGTGTTGGATCAGGCCAGTGGCCCATCCAGTCCAACACTCTGTGTCACACAGTGGCCAGAAATACCAGGGGCCACCGGGAGGTCCAGCAGTGGGGCCAGGACACTAGAAGCCCTCCCACTGTTGCCCCCC